TGAAAATGAGCAAGCAGGCGTGTCTGGAGACTTGTCAAGGAGACTTCTGATGCGGACACAGATGAAAGACACATTGTAGCATGGAAGCTGTCTACGTGTAGGATGTGAGAGCAGCACTGATCAGTGATTTAAGAAGCCACAGCATTAGTGGAAGGCAGCCTCTGTGCAGGGAGGTAGGCACTAGCATGGAGTGTGGATGAAAACTTTTCTGGAAGCAAGAGGGAGAAAGAATAATCCCCAATAGAGAGAGAGGACTGTGTTGGGAATGAAGAAGAGGGGGGTTGAGATAGAAAGGAATGATAAAATCAACTCTTGTGTGAAGGAAAGCTTATTTTTGCTCACAGCAGGGGGGTGTCACCATATGTGCACCTCACGATGGAATTAGTCACCACTTCTTGGTGGAAATTCTCCAGAGGAATAGATCTCCTGAGTGAAAGAAGGTGCTGCCTCTAGGGCTCATCACCGACCACAGCCACAGAGCTGTGGGACTGAGTGAAGGAAACTCTATGCGAACAGTGTTCAAAGTTCACTGGATTTAATCATAAAGGAGACGTAAACTGCTGATTAATGCTGACCCTTATGTCAAGTACAAGCTGGTTTAGTATTACCTCCCGTTCCATGGTAATCATTGACAGTGGTTACGACTCTCTTGAGTGCAAGCTTTGAAGTGACAGGCTCATAGCCACCTTCTGACCTGAGGAGCTCAGTGGAAACCATCAAACCAAATGGAATGAGTTCTTCTTCTACACAGGGTGTGGTTAAACCATGGGCCTCATCGTGACAGGAGGTTGTTTATGCCAACAGTTTACATGGCTGTAATAGGTGATTAGATAAATTCATAATAATCCTTTGGGGGTATTAAACAAAAGTTACTTGCTTGTGGCTAAAGAATTGCCTGAACAACCTGCCACATCCATACGTGTTTGCCCTGTTCTTTGGCAACTGCTGCTAATCGCTGGAGACAAGACTGTCCCAGAGGGACTTGTGGCTCATTCCCCTTCAGCTGCTCCTACTTTTCCCAAGCAGGAATCCACCCACTGCACCTCTCACCCATCACTCTCTGGAAGCAGTCCCTCACCTTCAACAACCTCGCTCTTTTGAGAGCAATAGTTTCTAGAAATGAAGTACTGTTTATCCTTAGAAGTAACAATCAGAAAGACTGGAATGACAAAAGGTCTGCACCTACCCAGGTCATAAGTGTTGTCATAAACCTGGGACGACTCCAACACCATAAGCTCTTCCATTCTGGAGGCAGGCTTCTACTCACATACACTCTGCAGTGTCCCTCTCAAACTCAGGGCTTCAGATTTTACCTGTATAAACAGAATTAGTTCTGTGACTTCTGTTTGGGCTCCTGCCAGCCCCAGGTACTAGGCTGAGCTTAGACCAGGATACTTATTCAGAGGCACAGACTGCTATCATGCTGGGTAAGCATCAAGAGAAGGATCACAGCCATTGTCTGCTTGCCTGCTGAGAGGAGGGATCCTCTCTGTATGCTCCATGCAATGGTTCAGTAAAAGGAGAATGCAATACTCAAAAGTATCTCCCCACTATGCTCAAAACAACTGTATTTGCAGTAAAATCTGTTTCCATGCTGACAGCAGTAAAGAGTTTAAAAAAATCAACAAAACAATAAGTTAAAAAAGAACTAATATATAGTTCAACAAAACAGAAATGCAATTTCCATCTTAGTTTTACCTCCACTACCATGCCTTTTGCTGGATTATACCCAGGAACTTTGGCCGTGTAATACTCATCCCTAGCATTTTCTAGTATCCCAGCCATTACCTGATACAGTGAACTTCCAGCTGGGAAATTCAGATGCACCTGAATGAGGTAAAACCTTCTTGCACTTGCAGCAGGGTTTGAGGAGAGCTCTCAAAGGATCAAATACCAGCTAAAAGCAATGAAAACACAATGTGGGAGCCACATACTTTCCCATATGGGTAGGATTCTTCTCTCCTCTGCTACCCCAACTGCTTTCCAACCATAGCTGGCAATGTGCAGCAGTGCCTCTAAAACCAAAGAGAACCAGGAATGCACTTCAGCATTGAGCTCAGGCAGGACCATGGAATGCTCTTTTTTGATCCCCAGATTTGCCCAGTTGTCAATGTTTCATACAGAGCTTTGCCTCTCAAGGAATGCTTCATGTGAGACAAGGTCCTGGCAGAAACCTGCCTTGTTATTCCCTAGCTCACCTACGGCTACACACTAATCCGGTTGCTGGGTTGCCACAGCATTAGAAGTCACAGGGTAAGACAGTCACAGCTCCAGCAGCTCTCCATGGAGATTCCTGGCAGTTTGGCTGTGTTCCTCCTCACAGAGAGCTCAGAACTGGCATTTCACTTCCATTTTAAAAAACGCAAAAGTATTTAAAATAGAATAGTCATTTCCTGTGGATCTGCGTGTAGCCAAGAACACAAGAACACAAGTACTCACTGACTGGTGTGGAATTAGCAAAAGGAAATGTTGCACAAATAATGTGAAATGCCTCCTAACCCATCGGTCTGCAGGTGCTGCATCTCCCAGGGAAACCTCTGGAGGCTGGACCACAGGAGCAAAGTTTGAGGGTACATCCCCTGCTCTGCTGGCTGTGATCCTGCCACCCTTTTGGAGATAGATACTGGAAGTCTTAACTGGGCAGAGTATTTCCACTCTTTTGCTGCCACTGGGAATGCTGGGGGTGGCAACCATGTCTCACTACACATTACAGAGCAGCTGCCCTAATATTAAAAGCAGAGCAGGCTGAAGCACAAGCAGTGAGAAGCATTGGCTATAAAGGTTCCCAACGTCTAATAAATTAAGGAAGCAGATCCTTGTCACTGCTGCACAGTCGTGTGCTTGCTGGCCCTGGCTGAAAAAAGCAACAAACCACAACTGTACCTGCATTAACTGCAGCAGCGCTTGTACTAGCAAACCTCCAGCCAGCCCTGCAGTGGTTCTCCCTGCTCCATTCTGGGAATGGTTTTCCATGAGCACAGGAGCTGGCTAATGCTGTTCTGAGTATGTCTCGATGAGAATTTTTGCTGAGTGTGCTTTCCTAGACAGCAAAACACAAACAAGATGTTCCACAGTCTCTTTGTAATTAGGAATAAGCCAGAATTCCTTTTTAATGTTACTCTGAAGGGATGGCGTTGCATCCTGGAGGAAAAGCTGTCTTTACTGAATGATTACAGCCTTGTATGAAATCTTCAGCAAGTCTGATCCAGATTCATCCTGGCTGCCTTTGGTACCTCAGAGATACTGAGATTTTGGATTTGGTCATTTTAAGCACCTTTACAGAGAGCAGAAAGGTGGTGTTAAGAGTGCTATGCAGAGCTGGAATGGGCACAGCCATCCCTTTCCGCTGACTCTGGTATGAGCACAGCCCCGAGTTAGCTTTTGAAATCAATGTCTATAATTAGGTGGGATAAATCTGGACCCTAAAGCCTGTGCATTACTCAGCTATCTCAAACCAAACTGCATAAACCTCCTGCATTCTGGCTTCCAATGTGGGGGATGAGCCATGTACGTGTCTGGCCAGGGTCCTCTCAGGTCACTCCTGATGCTCTGGGGCTCCTCCCAGGGTCTTGGGGGCTGCTCCAAGTGCTCCTGGGTTCCTTCCAGCATCTCTGCGGGGGAAGATGTTATTTACATGCCAAAAGTAGCAATCACCATAACCTTTGTACTAAGCCAGCTATTTGATCTCCAGCAAGAGCCTTCACAGGGCTATTCTGCCCACCTCACAGAAGCAGCTGGACTCTGTTCTCCAAGCACAGACCATGGTGTGTGCACAAGCCTTAAAGTACCTCTGTCTGGTAGGAATGACACAGAGTGCCAGCCCCATGTGTTCTGTGTAGAGAGAATCGAGGTCATCTGCTGCTCCCGCCTCAGTCCACTCCCACATCAAGGCAACAGTCTGAGCCCAGCCAGGCTTGAAGAACTCAATTAGAGGCCACTTTCAAGTTTTAGGTGCATTATGGAACAAGAAGAGGTGCCAGGACTTGCAGACATCACTGTCATCCTAACGAGCACGTATAATCATAAATGGCTCTGCTAAAACAACCACCAAAGTACGCTCAGCAGAAGCTGCGACCAACACAGGAACTGCCCATGCAAGAGCGCGCTACCGAAGGTGGATGGTAGAAGGTGAACAGCGCGGCGAGGGTGGTGTTTATCCAGACTGGTATGCTCGGCTGCCGGGCTGCCGGGCTGCCATAGGAGCAGCCGCTCAGGACTGAGCAGCCACCTCACGGGGCACGGCTGTGCTCAGCACCGGCCCGAGAGCGGGCTCCATGCCCGGCACTCCCCGCCTCACAGCGGCGCGGGCCGCCCGCCACAGACCGCCGAGCGGCGCGGTTGCCATAACAACAGCCGCCGGCCCCCGCCGCCTCAGGCGGCTGCGCGCCAGAAAGTGCTAGAAAGGCGCTGCAGCCCGCGCATGCGCAAGCGGGTGCGCTCCCCACCTCCGTCTCCGCCGCAGCGCTCCGGGGGTAACGGAGGGCGGCGGGGACGGGTTGGGAGAGGGGAGCTCTCCCGGAGGAGCGGTGGTGGCGGGAGGCAGCGGCGTGCCCGTGACCCGCGGGGGAACGGCGGGCTGAGGTTTCCCTGGAAACCGCCCTCTCCCGCAGTGAGGAGGAGCTGCCGCCTACGCTGCGCAAAGTGCGCACCCGGCTTCGGGAATGGGCGGCTGCGCGAGCCACCGCCCAGCGCCCGCTGCGGAGTCATTGCGACGGTTACTAGGACACTTCGTGCTCAGCCAATCGGCTGGCGTTAGCTCATCCCGGGGGCCGGCAGCCAATCACGTTCGACATCAATCATTCAATTAAGCCAATCGGGAGCGTCTCTAGCGAGGAGGGCGGGCACTCGCGAGCCCCGGTTGCCTAACAGTAAAATCAACAGACAGCTGGGCGGAGCTAATAGGAGAGGGTGGCTTGAATGACAGTCTTTTTGGCCAATAAGATCTCCTCTTTCGCAGAGCCTCGTTATAAGTAGCCAATAGCCACTGCAACTGGCCGTCTGGGAGGGGAGAGGAAAGCTGCGCGCGCATTCCGCTGCTATATAAGGGTTGGCGGTTTACTTCACGCAGCCAGAGTCGGTTGGGAGCAGGGTGATTTTAGGTGGAAGTGACCGGTGTCGCCGCCATCATGAGGGAGATCGTGCACCTGCAGGCCGGGCAGTGCGGGAACCAGATCGGAGCCAAGGTCCGGGCGGTGGGCAGAGGGCGGCTGCAGGAGGGGGGGGGACACTGATGGGTGGCGCCGGGCGCGCCCGGCCCGGCCGCTCCTGACGCGGTTTTCCCTGGCAGTTCTGGGAGGTGATCAGCGACGAGCATGGCATCGATCCAACCGGTACCTACCATGGAGACAGCGACCTGCAGCTGGAGCGCATTAACGTCTATTACAACGAGGCCACAGGTAGGGCCTGTCCCGCCTCCCCCTCTTCCCGATCTGCCCCCGGCGCCGCAGTCACGGCTTCTCCTCGTTTTGCAGGTGGCAAGTACGTGCCCCGCGCCGTACTGGTGGACCTGGAGCCCGGCACCATGGACTCCGTGCGCTCCGGGCCCTTCGGCCAGATATTCAGGCCAGACAACTTCGTGTTCGGTGAGTGCGCCGGGAGCGGGGGAGGGACCTGTCGTGTAACCGGCTCGGGGTGGGGTGGGCAGGGCAGGGACGCTGCACTGCGGGCTTTGCCGCTGCACATGCTCCTGAGGCGAGCGCGGCCCCGGGGAGGGGGTTAATCCTGGCGCTGCGTGACGGGTGCGAAATACCGGCGAGCCTGCGGGCGGTGCGGGATGGCAGCTGCGGGGGAGCCGTCCGAGGAGGCGCAAGGGGTCGTTGCTCTTCCGAGTCTCGTTACCTCCTCCGCATCAACAGGAGCAATCAAACGGCTGCTGTGTCATTAGTAATAAATGTTTTCTGTGTATCCGCCGAGCCATTTCAGAGGTGCTTGTGTGAAACCACAGCTCAGTGCTGGCTAAAAGGAAGCTCTCCTGGGGGTGGGGTTCTGTGTAGCCTGATGCGCCCTTGCTTGCAAGCAATAAGCAGGAAGCAGTGACCGTAATCTAATACGAAAATGGCTCTCTTCCAGGTCAGAGCGGCGCAGGAAACAACTGGGCAAAGGGCCATTATACGGAAGGTGCTGAATTAGTTGATTCTGTGTTAGATGTTGTAAGGAAGGAGGCAGAAAGCTGTGATTGTCTCCAGGGCTTTCAGCTTACTCACTCCCTCGGTGGTGGTACGGGCTCAGGTATGGGTACCCTCCTCATCAGCAAAATCCGTGAAGAGTACCCAGACCGAATTATGAATACTTTCAGTGTTGTTCCATCCCCTAAAGTGTCAGATACTGTAGTAGAGCCCTACAATGCCACACTCTCGGTTCACCAGCTTGTGGAGAACACAGATGAAACATACTGTATTGATAACGAAGCTCTCTATGACATATGCTTCAGAACACTGAAGTTAACCACTCCAACCTACGGTGATCTGAACCATTTAGTGTCAGCCACCATGAGCGGTGTTACCACCTGCCTGCGGTTCCCAGGCCAGCTCAATGCTGACCTGCGGAAGCTGGCAGTCAACATGGTTCCCTTCCCCCGTTTGCACTTCTTCATGCCTGGCTTTGCCCCTCTCACCAGCCGTGGGAGCCAACAGTACCGGGCTCTGACAGTGCCAGAGCTGACACAGCAGATGTTCGACGCAAAGAACATGATGGCTGCTTGTGACCCGCGGCACGGCCGCTACCTGACCGTGGCTGCTGTGTTCAGAGGCCGTATGTCCATGAAAGAGGTGGATGAGCAAATGCTAAATGTTCAGAACAAAAATAGCAGCTATTTTGTGGAATGGATCCCTAATAACGTTAAAACGGCAGTCTGTGACATTCCACCTCGTGGCCTGAAAATGTCTGCCACCTTCATTGGGAACAGCACAGCCATCCAGGAGCTGTTCAAACGCATTTCTGAGCAGTTCACAGCCATGTTCCGCCGAAAGGCGTTCTTGCACTGGTACACAGGCGAGGGCATGGACGAGATGGAATTCACAGAAGCTGAGAGCAACATGAATGACCTGGTGTCTGAGTATCAGCAGTACCAGGATGCTACAGCTGAGGAGGAGGGGGAGTTTGAGGAGGAGGCTGAGGAAGAGGCTGAGTAACAGCTATGCAGATGAATACCTGTAAATTTTGTTTAAAGCTGTATGAACTCTCATCAAACCTCTGTCTGTGTTGTGTTCCTCTTTATGTCTCAAAAGTCACTTCAACTGCTGTACAGGCACCATTAAAGCATTTTTCACAGTGCACGAGCTCGTCTCTCTTGTTCCTTTTGGTAAGCTTTTCGGGTGCTGTTTCCGTAAGTCAGTGCGTAGATGTTCTGGAGCTCTGGAAAAGAGAAGCAAAGGACTTGGGGTGAGCCCTGGCTGAGGCAGCCGGGCTTCTGCCTCTCAGCCTGGTGTGGGTGTCACTGGATGTGGTGAACTGATGTTGCTTTACAATCCAAGTGTGCTGGTGGTGGGGATAACACCTCCTGAGAGGATGGAATTCAGCTTTGAGCTGCATCTAAATTTAGGTACCTGTGTGTGGACTCCTGTTACAGGCTCAGCGGGAGCTGAGCCGCTCTCTAGTAGATACAGGTTCTGTCTCCCTGACAACACCTTCCCAAGGCAGGCAGGGCTCCAGCAGATGAGGAGCCAGGCTGATGGGCTCAGCAGTGCCAAACGGGCAGGTAGCCACGACCTGTGCCAGCAGCGCTGTGGACGGCAGTGCCACACCACACTGCTGAGGAGGAGCTGAGCCTCTGTGTGCACAGCCGTGTTTTCAAATCGTATATGGAGAGTTTAAACCTCCGAGTGTTACTGCAGGCTCTGCTGCTGAGGTGGGCTGAGCGCCCGCTAGCACATCAGGGGGGTGTTTTCATGGCACTCCTGTATTAACACCACATTCCTATTGTGGTAGCCATGGTGTCAGCTAAAGCGACTGACCCGCTGCTGGGGAGCTGGGCAGGGGAGCAGGCTGCTTTCCTGGTGAAGAAACCCTGCTCACTGCTCTTAAATTCTGAATTGTTTTGTGCAGAGTTTGTGTGCCTTGAAAACAATTTCTCCTTCCAGTGCCTGAGCTGCTTGGAGTCCAAATGGCACCAACTGGAAACTGTCTGCAAGAATGGGTGGCTGGCTCCAGACCTACCTGGGAGGGAGCTGCTGTAGGTGTAAAGGTGGCAGCAGATAGTGAAAGCATGAAGTAAAGACATGAGGGTGGGTGACCAAAGCCCTCCCCAAGCAGCCCTACGCAGAGGAAACAGCCCCTGGAACAGTCTGGGCTACACTGAGACACCCCAGAGCTGCCATGCAAAGGATGTGTGCTTCCCCACTCCTGGCTTTCATTTCTACCAAGTTTTCTGCTTCTAGCATTTTCCTCCTCTGCACTGCATTAAGTACAAGCTGTGAGGTTAGTTCTTTCTCCCTGATTTCCCAGCCCACATTACTGAGCTCTGGGTAGGGAAGGGACAAGACAGTTGCTGATTTGTTGACATTTTAGCTTGATACCTTAATGCTTTCAGGTGCACGGGCAGAGCTTCCCCTTCACATGCACAAAAATCACTTCAGCCCTCTCTGTTTAGGCAACAGCACTGAGGATCAGGCAGACAGTGCAGGGTAGCCACTGCCTGTCTCTATGGCTAATACCATTTCACTGCTATTATTCTGTGCATTCTCATCCCATTTGTATAATTTGCATCTTGCTTTTTATCAGACTTTAAGGACATGGAGCTGCTGGAGAGACTCCAGAGGAGGCCATGGAGATGCTGCGAGGGCTGGAGCAGCTCTGCTCTGGAGCCAGGCTGAGAGAGCTGGGCTGGGGCAGCCTGGAGAAGAGAAGGCTCCTGAAGGGGAGACCTGAGAGCAGCTCCAGTGCCTGAAGGGGCTGCAGGAAAGCTGGAGAGGGGCTTGGGACAAGGGCCTGTAGGGACAGGCCAAGGGGAATGGCTTTAACCTGCCAGAGGGGAGACTGAGATGAGCTCTTAGGCAGAAGCTCTTCCCTGGGAGGGTGCTGAGGCGCTGGCACAGGGTGCCCAGAGAAGCTGTGGCTGCCCCATCCCTGGCAGTGTTCAAGGCCAGGTTGGACACAGGGGCTTGGAGCAAGCTGCTCTAGTGGAAGGTGTCCCTGCCCGTGGCAGGGGTTGGAGCTGGAGGAGCTTTAAGGTCCCTGCCAGCCCAAACCAGGCTCTATTCTACGAATCACTTTCCTGACGAAGACACTGTAACACACCCGGGTGACGGGCAGGGTGTTACTGAGCCTCCGCTGCTTTAGCAGGGGTTTGGTGGCTGGAAACCAGAGGAACATTCTGCACAAGCCCAGGCTGACAGCCAGGCTGACAGGCTCTCCTGCAGGAAGGGGATGGCACCACTCCAGCACCTCAGCGCAGACCAGGAAATAACCTACTACCCATGTGGAACAGGTGAGTAATCGTTCACTTCTCCAGCACTACAGCTAATAACAGCGCTACTTAATGACAGCAATTAGTATCAGTGACTTTCCTTTCACTCAGCTGATAACATTACCTGGTACAAAGCCCATGTAGGAAGGTATCAGTCCAGCACTGGTGTAAATTCTGTAGGTAGGCCAGTAATTCTGGGGATATCTCTTGCCAAAGCTGTAACATGGGTTTCTCAGCATAAACTGGGGGGGAGGAAACAACACCAGGGTACAGTTAATTTTAAAACACACCGTTTTTACCAAGTCATCTGCTTTGACTCTGCATTCAATATTGAAGCCATGTAAAGCAATTCTCCTTCCAGTTCAGTTTTCTTCTAATTAGGAGCTACACTGCATTCACCTCCACCTCTGGGCATCACCTGCAAGTCCCAAACACCTTGTGCTCCTATATCTGATGTACTGGGAGCCAGCAATGTCTGCTGGGCTTGGGTACAAGCCTCATCTGCTCCTGTGCTGTGACTCTGCACATCTGGGGCTTGGTTTGACCCCTTCAACTGGGTTTGTTTCTCCATGAGTCCCACTGGTGGCGATCAGCCGGCAGTTCCCTGGCTGGGAGGGACAGGAAGGCTTAGGGAGAGTGTAAATCACCCCCTGCAACTGTCTGCCCCCCCCAAGGTCAGCCCCAGACGAGGGGCTGGAGGGTGGATGTTGCTGCTCTCAGTATTCAGATGTCACTTAAAGCTGTGCTGCCCACACTGGTGGAGAAGGGATGGGGCTGATGGAGCCGAGCAGCCCGTGGGGCTGCTGACCCATCCTGTGGTGGTGATGGAGCGGCTGCTGCATCCCTCAAGCGCTGCACTGAAGCGTGAGGGCTGCACTATTTTGCCTGATGCAGGCAGTAAGCAGTGATCCATAGTACATCCCAGTATGTAACCTAGGGCAACAGAGATTTAGGGCAGCAGATTAATGGCTTGAAGCCATCTTAGATAGAAATGTGGTGTGATTTGGTTGGGTTTTTTTTAGTGTACTCTTACTCCTTCAGTGCCTGATGTGCCGCAGCTGAGCTCTGGAAGGCTGGATTCTGCTGAATCCTGCAACAGAAACACCTCCCTGGCTGATTTACTACAAGCAGAATGCTACTTAAGGAATCAGGGGCAGAAAGGCTTTGCAAACAGCACATTCAGTTTTGATAATACCATGGTTTGGGGTTGTTTTTCCTTGCTGCTTCATCTCAATTCCTATTAATGGCAGAAGCGTAAGGAAGCCAGCACAGGAAAATACATTTCAGCCTGAGAAGCAAGAGGCTGCCATGAGCAGCCAGACCTGCTGCTCTCCCTGCTGAGTCATTTCTTCCCAGCTGAGTTTTTCTGAGCTGGGGAGCCTCAATCTTGGAATTTTTTCCTACATCAGACCCGTACACTCTGGGATGAAGGCACTGCAGCCAATCCCAGTGACCAGAAAGGATTGGGAATGTTTTAACCTGTGTCACTGAGCTGACCAGCTCTCACCAGTGCTGGACCAGGGATGCTGCTGCATCTCACTGCATCCTGGTAGCAGGAGGAAAAGCATCCCTTGGAATGCAAACTGTTAACTACTGGGGGGAGGGATCTCATTTTCCCATGTAGGAGGGAACTATATGGGGGATCTGACAGCAAGGGGACAAATAGCATTTCAGGAGGGATATTTCTGCATCCTTCCCAAAAGGAGATCTAAATCCCTTTAAGACAAATCCTGTTAGGAAAGGAAAAAGCTTTACAACCAGTTAAAAGAGAGGAATATCCACCCAAGCAGGCCAGGAAGGCATCCGGCACTGCCAGCCCAATAGAGAAGGTGGATTGCACAAGGGAAGCACAGATTGTTGCATCCTGTGTTTCTGCACTCAGAGCCACATATTTAGCAGCCACCCTTGACCCAGCCCTCTCTAGATTTGCTTAATCCTTTTATGAACTCATTTCTTCTCCCTCAGTGTCCCAAGGAAACAAGTTACAGGCTTTAATTGCTCATGATTTTTTCACCATGTTACCTAATAGCATTTTACTCTGCTTGTAACTTATACCCCAGTCCTAACCCTACTGCTCCAAGTGAAACCACTTCTGGTGTTGCAGCTGACTCAGTTACACAGCTGGAATGAGATTTGGGCCTGTAATGTACCTGGTGTTGGTCAAATTCCTTCATTGCTTCCGTCACACTCCGGATGTAGTTCACACCGTGAAACCAGGAGAGGCGGGGGATGAATCCCGCGTACCCTGGGGATGAAGACAAGAGAGAACATTGTCTGCTTGTGAATATACATATCCTACAGAGATCAACCAGCCCGGAAGTGGAACAGGCTGGGATAAATACAAAACCTCAGCAGAGCACAGGAAGGAAAAATGCACCCATTTAAAGTGTAAAATTAACTCTTACCCATGAAGTATCTGTTCTGAAAGAGTCTTTTTTACAATGCCCAAGGAAAACTCAATGGATTGAACTGATCTGGGTTGATCTCCATGAGGTATGGAAGAAACATCTCATTTTCTTATGGCCTTTCCTGTGCATCAACAGCTCTGTCATGTTCTCTCCCAGTTTAATACACATTCAGGAGCTAACAACAAGGCGTCCAACCTTTCTTCCTCACTTGCCCTGCCCATCCAACAGATTTCCACCAAGTAGGAGACAGAAACTATATAAAGTCTAAACCTACATAAAACATAGCGAGGTACATCTAAAACACAGGCAGAACTCCCTCTTCCCAAAGGAATGCTTTGAAGAGAGAGAAAACTGTCATCTGCATCCTGAAGCATCGATGCTCTTTCATTTTGACTGCAGTACTCTGATACAGAGCTCCTCTTTGCTGTGGTCCACTGCAGAGTGAAGATCCCCCCACCCTGTGCATCGCCCTCTGCAATGCTCAGGCTCTTCCAGAGCAAGTGGTGGAGCTACAGAACAGAATTCCTTGTCCACCAGCTTTATGGAGTCCTGGCGGTGCGATGCATCACTGCTTGTTGGCTTCATGATTGCGGAAGGGCTCTTGTTGCTGATGGAGAACGAACCACCTCAAGGGCAGCAGGAGGTGGTGCAGAGCCCATGGCCCAGCTCTGCATTTCTGGAGCATTTTCTAGCCTGGCCCTGGGGCTGTGGGGACCTCGGGTGGCTCCTGCATCCCATCCATGATGAGCTCTCCTGCCCATGAAGAGCGTCCCAGAGGAGCACCCTTGCGTGGAGAGAAGCAGTGGCATTTTCCATCCCAAAGTGCTAACTGAACCGGAATGACCAGCCAGGATCCCCGAGGTTTCCCATGGGGAAGGACGGTGACGCGGCTCTTTCCGAGGGGGACTCCCTCCCTTTTACCTGTGATGACTTTCTGCTGGATCACCTTTGGTAGATCCATTTCTGGCAACCAAATCTCCTCCTCCTCGGCCCCGTTGGTTCTCCCGGGCCCCTGGGTCAGCGGTGGCAATGTCACCTGCCCCTGCGTTACAGGTTCAGAGCAAGTGCAATAAAAGCTGCTGCTTCCTACAGCCCCATTGCTTAAATCAGCAACAGAACCTGTGAATGGCAGCTGCCATTTCCTGTTCTTCATGGAACCATAGAATAGTTGGGGTTGGAAAGGACCTTAAGATCACCCAGTTCCAACCCCCCTGCCATGGGCAGGGACACCTCACGCTAAACCATGGCACCCAAGGCTCTGTCCAACCTGGCCTTGAACACCACCAGGGATGGAGCATTCACAACCTCCCTGGGCAACCCATTCCAGTGCCTCACCACCCTCACAGGAAAGAATTTCTTCCTTATATCCAGTCTGAACTTCCCCTGTTTAAGTTTTCACCCCTTACCCCTTGTCCTGTCACTGCAGTCCCTAATGAAGAGTCCCTCTCCAGCATCCCTATAGGCCCCCTTCAGATACTGGAAGCTGCTCTGAGGTCTCCACGCAGCTTCTCTTCTCCAGGCTGAACAGCCCCAACTTCCTCAGCCTGGCTCCATACAGGAGGTGCTCCAGCTTTTTCTTCCCAGCTTTACACTAGGAGCTACCCAAAGGTTTCTGGTGAAGTCCCATTGCACGTGCCCGCTGCACACAGAGGCTCTGCCCAGGGAGAGCAAGGGGAGCTTTGGGCACTGAGCTCCTCTCTAAACCTGCTTCTCAGAGCAAGGAGCAGGAATGCCCTTTCCTGGGATCTCTGCCCCAGCCAGCTGTTGATGTGGTCGGTTCATGGGATCCCTGCTCTCTGCCCTCAGGGAGCGTGCAGAGCCCCGGCTGGCTGCAGCGGGATGCAAGAAATGAGGGGCTCAGACACGTTGGTCCCAAGTGCTCCTGGCTCTGCGGTGTGAAACAGCACCAGCTCCAGAGGCAAACCCAGTGCTTGTGCTTAAACAAGGGGCAGCTGTGGTGAGAAACTCAGGTGGGAGCAGGGAGGGGATCAGAAACCCAGTGTGTAGCCAAAGGGGACAGGAGGAAGAGGGTGTCAGGGTTGCCTGTTCACCCAAAGGAAACACAGGCCTGGCACAGTGCAAGATCTGATGGTGGCTGGGATTTGAAGCTAATACTTCAGCAAGTAAGAAGTTCAGGTTTTTTAATTAAGAAGAGTAATTACTGAGTACTGCAATTTCCTGGGTATGGAAGGGATTTGCTACTGCTGGAAATGTTTCTGCATTTGATATTTCTCTGCATGACACTCTAAGCTCTCTGCCCTTGTCATCCACACCCACATCCCAGAATCCCAGCCTGGTTTGGGTTGGAAGGGACCTTAAAGCTCCTTCAGTTCCAACCCCTGCCACGGGCAGGGACACCTTCCACTAGAGCAGCTTGCTCCAAGCCCCTGTGTCCAACCTGGCCTTGAACACTGCCAGGGATGGGGCAGCCACAGCTTCTCTGGGCACCCTGTGCCAGCCGCCTCAGCACCCTCACAGGAAAGAGCTTCTGCCCAAGATCCAACCTGAATCTCCCCCATTTAAGTTTAAAGCCATTCCCCCTTGTCCTTTCACTACAGCCCTGATGATGAGCACATCAGGGTCCCTTTTCACTGCCCTGTTCCAAGGAGATCCCTTCCATGCTCACCAGTCCCAATCCCCATCCCTCCCCAGCAGCATCCTCTACCCCATGCCCGTTCCCCCCCAGAACACTTACTGGTGCGCTTCCTGCCCAGGCACCGCCGCGCTGGCCGGGTCTGCCCCTTCTCGTCAGCCACTGTCGCCCTTCGGACGCAGGATAGTGTGGAACACTGCGGGGGGAGTCCCGAACCACTTGTGTCCTCGGGACGTACTCGCTGGAGTGGTCCCGGGGCTCAGGGTCCGCCTGCACCATGGTCAGCTCTTCCTCGGACAGCTCCGGCTGCAGCAGGGGCAGCCTGGCCTGAAGGAGTGGGTCAGGGAAGGTCGCTGCAGCCCCAGGTCTCTCAGAGGAGAAGCACCCTGTGGAACGACACCGAGGAAAGGGAAAGGAGTGGCTGAACGGGGGATTCCCATCACCCTGGACCTCAGCCCCGTGTGGTGAAGGAAAGGAGCCTGGAGCTCAGCAGCATCCCACAGGCTGTGAATGCATCCTGTGGGCGCCATCGGCCCACCCAGGTAACCATCCTGCACAGGAAAATGCACAAAGAGAAGCTCAATAGCTTGGAATTTAATCTAAATGGCACCTAAGCTCTACGATACCATCAGCCGAGCTATACAGGGCAAAGTAAACCCCAGCGTGTCCCTTTGCTCCCTGTGGCCGTGTCAGCGCACCCCAAACACAGACCCACGGGTCCAGCACCGCCTCGAGCTCTCCGATCCCATCACGGACAATACCCCGGAGGACCCCAGGCGAGGCTGCACTGAAGGGTTTAAGGAACCTCCCTGACAGCAGGAGCTGGGGATGAAGTCACCAGCAGCAGCCAGCGCTTCCCAGCTCCAATGCTAGCAGATGAAGTAGGGGTTGGTGAGGAGAGCGTGGAATGGGGACAGGATAATGAGGGAGGGCGAGCGGGCTGACTGGTTAGTTGGGTCCATCCAAACTGCAGCTTAATCCGAGGACATGCAAATATAAATGTCCAGGAATGAAGCCCATAAACACCAGCTGTGGTGGAGACCCGGCTCCCGGGAAACAGGGCTGGGATGGGCAGAAAGGCTGGAAGCTTCCAAGCTGCACGGCACAAATTCCCAGCAGGAAATGGGAAAGCATCGCCTTGGTGTGGCCATCCCCAGGGAAATGGAGACCCAGATCCTGCTGGGAATGTTGCCCTCAGCCTGGAGAGGCCTCGCTCCCACCAGGCAGGGTGTCCGCACGGTGTGGTACAGGGCACACGTGTCTCCACGGGATGGATCATGGGAGAGGTGCTGCTGCTGCAGCCTATTTTGGGTGTGCTCCACAGGGACCAGGCACTTTGGCTGAAAGAGCTGGGACTTGGCAGGAAATTCCTGCAGATTCCCAGTGTTGGGAATCTAGAGGAGAGTATCTCAGTGTCTGATGGAGGAGATGGGGCCTGCGAGCAGGGAAAGAGGGACAGTGGGAAAGGGCACACAAGCCCATCCACTGGTCTGAGGTGGGAGCATTGGGATGCAAAGTGAATCACAAGCTGTGAGTAGGAGCTCTGAGGAGAACAAGCCCTGCACCAGTGGGGTCAGCTGGGAAAGGGCTGGGAGCAGCAGAGCTGGGTGTTCCCAGAGGATGGATCTGAGCCCTTGGAATTGTGCTGGACCCACCAGGGAAGTTCATTGTCCTCACAGCCTGGGTTTGTGCTGCAGAGCTGCTCACACAGGGATGCTCCAGTCACTGCTGAGCACCAGTCACTGCTGAGCACTGCTCATACAGGGATGCTCCAGTCACTGCTGAGCAGCACTCACACAGGGATGCTCCAGTCACTGCTGAGCGCTGCTCACACAGGGATGCTCCAGTCACTGCTGAGCACTGCTCACACAGGGATGCTCCAGTCACTGCTGAGCACTGCTCACACAGGGATGCTCCAGTCACTGCTGAGCAGCACTCACACAGGGATGCTCCAGTCACTGCTGAGCAGCACTCACACAGGGATGCTCCAGTCACTGCTGAGCAGCACTCACACAGGGATGCTCCAGTCACTGCTGAGCAGCACTCACACAGGGATGCTCCAGTCACTGCTGAGCGCTGCTCACACAGGGATGCTCCAGTCACTGCTGAGCAGCACTCACACAGGGATGCTCCAGTCACTGCTGAGCAGCACTCACACAGGGATGCTCCAGTCACTGCTGAGCGCTGCTCACACAGGGATGCTCCAGTCACTGCTGAGCAGCACTCACACAGGGATGCTCCAGTCACTGCTGAGCACTGCTCACACAGGGATGCTCCAGTCACTGCTGAGCAGCACTCACACAGGGATGCTCCAGTCACTGCTGAGCAGCACTCACACAGGGATGCTCCAGTCACTGCTGAGCACTGCTCACACAGGGATGCTCCAGTCACTGCTGAGCAGCACTCACACAGGGATGCTCCAGTCACTGCTGAGCAGCACTCACACAGGGATGCTCCAGTCACTGCTGAGCACTGCTCACACAGGGATGCTCCAGTCACTGCTGAGCAGCACTCACACAGGGATGCTCCAGTCACTGCTGAGCACTGCTCACACAGGGATGCTCCAGTCACTGCTGAGCAGCACTCACACAGGGATGCTCCAGTCACTGCTGAGCAGCACTCACACAGGGATGCTCCAGTCACTGCTGAGCACTGCTCACACAGGGATGCTCCAGTCACTGCTGAGCAGCACTCACACAGGGATGCTCCAGTCACTGCTGAGCAGCACTCACACAGGGATGCTCCAGTCACTGCTGAGCACTGCTCACACAGGGATGCTCCAGTCACTGCTGAGCACTGCTCACACAGGGATGCTCCAGTCACTGCTGAGCGCTGCTCACACAGGGATGCTCCAGTCACTGCTGAGCACTGCTCACACAGGGATGCTCCAGTCACTGCTGAGCGCTGCTCACACAGGGATGCTCCAGTCACTGCTGAGCACTGCTCACACAGGGATGCTCCAGTCACTGCTGAGCAGCACTCACACAGGGATGCTCCAGTCACTGCTGAGCAGCACTCACACAGGGATGCTCCAGTCACTGCTGAGCACTGCTCACACAGGGATGCTCCAGTCACTGCTGAGCGCTGCTCACACAGGGATGCTCCAGTCACTGCTGAGCAGCACTCACACAGGGATGCTCCAGTCACTGCTGAGCAGCACTCACACAGGGATGCTCCAGTCACTGCTGAGCACTGCTCACACAGGGATGCTCCAGTCACTGCTGAGCAGCACTCACACAGGGATGCTCCAGTCACTGCTGAGCAGCACTCACACAGGGATGCTCCAGTCACTGCTGAGCACTGCTCACACAGGGATGCTCCAGTCACTGCTGAGCACTGCTCACACAGGGATGCTCCAGTCACTGCTGAGCAGCACTCACACAGGGATGCTCCAGTCACTGCTGAGCGCTGCTCACACAGGGATGCTCCAGTCACTGCTGAGCAGCACTCACACAGGGATGCTCCAGTCACTGCTGAGCACTGCTCACACAGGGATGCTCCAGTCACTGCTGAGCAGCACTCACACAGGGATGCTCCAGTCACTGCTGAGCAGCACTCACACAGGGATGCTCCAGTCACTGCTGAGCACTGCTCACACAGGGATGCTCCAGTCACTGCTGAGCAGCACTCACACAGGGATGCTCCAGTCACTGCTGAGCACTGCTCACACAGGGATGCTCCAGTCACTGCTGAGCAGCACTCACACAGGGATGCTCCAGTCACTGCTGAGCAGCACTCACACAGGGATGCTCCAGTCACTGCTGAGCACTGCTCACACAGGGATGCTCCAGTCACTGCTGAGCACTGCTCACACAGGGATGCTCCAGTCACTGCTGAGCAGCACTCACACAGGGATGCTCCAGTCACTGCTGAGCAGCACTCACACAGGGATGCTCCAGTCACTGCTGAGCAGCACTCACACAGGGATGCTCCAGTCACTGCTGAGCAGCACTCACACAGGGATGCTCCAGTCACTGCTGAGCACTGCTCACACAGGGATGCTCCAGTCACTGCTGAGCACTGCTCACACAGGGATGCTCCAGTCACTGCTGAGCAGCACTCACACAGGGATGCTCCAGTCACTGCTGAGCAGCACTCACACAGGGATGCTCCAGTCACTGCTGAGCAGCACTCACACAGGGATGCTCCAGTCACTGCTGAGCGCTGCTCACACAGGGATGCTCCAGTCACTGCTGAGCAGCACTCACACAGGGATGCTCCAGTCACTGCTGAGCACTGCTCACACAGGGATGCTCCAGTCACTGCTGAGCAGCACTCACACAGGGATGCTCCAGTCACTGCTGAGCAGCACTCACACAGGGATGCTCCAGTCACTGCTGAGCACTGCTCACACAGGGATGCTCCAGTCACTGCTGAGCAGCACTCACACAGGGATGCTCCAGTCACTGCTGAGCACTGCTCACACAGGGATGCTCCAGTCACTGCTGAGCAGCACTCACACAGGGATGCTCCAGTCACTGCTGAGCAGCACTCACACAGGGATGCTCCAGTCACTGCTGAGCACTGCTCACACAGGGATGCTCCAGTCACTGCTGAGCAGCACTCACACAGGGATGCTCCAGTCACTGCTGAGCAGCACTCACACAGGGATGCTCCAGTCACTGCTGAGCACTGCTCACACAGGGATGCTCCAGTCACTGCTGAGCAGCACTCACACAGGGATGCTCCAGTCACTGCTGAGCAGCACTCACACAGGGATGCTCCAGTCACTGCTGAGCACTGCTCACACAGGGATGCTCCAGTCACTGCTGAGCACTGCTCACACAGGGATGCTCCAGTCACTGCTGAGCGCTGCTCACACAGGGATGCTCCAGTCACTGCTGAGCACTGCTCACACAGGGATGCTCCAGTCACTGCTGAGCGCTGCTCACACAGGGATGCTCCAGTCACTGCTGAGCACTGCTCACACAGGGATGCTCCAGTCACTGCTGAGCAGCACTCACACAGGGATGCTCCAGTCACTGCTGAGCAGCACTCACACAGGGATGCTCCAGTCACTGCTGAGCACTGCTCACACAGGGATGCTCCAGTCACTGCTGAGCGCTGCTCACACAGGGATGCTCCAGTCACTGCTGAGCAGCACTCACACAGGGATGCTCCAGTCACTGCTGAGCAGCACTCACACAGGGATGCTCCAGTCACTGCTGAGCACTGCTCACACAGGGATGCTCCAGTCACTGCTGAGCAGCACTCACACAGGGATGCTCCAGTCACTGCTGAGCAGCACTCACACAGGGATGCTCCAGTCACTGCTGAGCACTGCTCACACAGGGATGCTCCAGTCACTGCTGAGCACTGCTCACACAGGGATGCTCCAGTCACTGCTGAGCAGCACTCACACAGGGATGCTCCAGTCACTGCTGAGCGCTGCTCACACAGGGATGCTCCAGTCACTGCTGAGCAGCACTCACACAGGGATGCTCCAGTCACTGCTGAGCACTGCTCACACAGGGATGCTCCAGTCACTGCTGAGCAGCACTCACACAGGGATGCTCCAGTCACTGCTGAGCAGCACTCACACAGGGATGCTCCAGTCACTGCTGAGCACTGCTCACACAGGGATGCTCCAGTCACTGCTGAGCAGCACTCACACAGGGATGCTCCAGTCACTGCTGAGCACTGCTCACACAGGGATGCTCCAGTCACTGCTGAGCAGCACTCACACAGGGATGCTCCAGTCACTGCTGAGCAGCACTCACACAGGGATGCTCCAGTCACTGCTGAGCACTGCTCACACAGGGATGCTCCAGTCACTGCTGAGCACTGCTCACACAGGGATGCTCCAGTCACTGCTGAGCAGCACTCACACAGGGATGCTCCAGTCACTGCTGAGCAGCACTCACACAGGGATGCTCCAGTCACTGCTGAGCAGCACTCACACAGGGATGCTCCAGTCACTGCTGAGCAGCACTCACACAGGGATGCTCCAGTCACTGCTGAGCACTGCTCACACAGGGATGCTCCAGTCACTGCTGAGCACTGCTCACACAGGGATGCTCCAGTCACTGCTGAGCAGCACTCACACAGGGATGCTCCAGTCACTGCTGAGCAGCACTCACACAGGGATGCTCCAGTCACTGCTGAGCAGCACTCACACAGGGATGCTCCAGTCACTGCTGAGCGCTGCTCACACAGGGATGCTCCAGTCACTGCTGAGCAGCACTCACACAGGGATGCTCCAGTCACTGCTGAGCACTGCTCACACAGGGATGCTCCAGTCACTGCTGAGCAGCACTCACACAGGGATGCTCCAGTCACTGCTGAGCAGCACTCACACAGGGATGCTCCAGTCACTGCTGAGCACTGCTCACACAGGGATGCTCCAGTCACTGCTGAGCAGCACTCACACAGGGATGCTCCAGTCACTGCTGAGCACTGCTCACACAGGGATGCTCCAGTCACTGCTGAGCAGCACTCACACAGGGATGCTCCAGTCACTGCTGAGCAGCACTCACACAGGGATGCTCCAGTCACTGCTGAGCAGCACTCACACAGGGATGCTCCAGTCACTGCTGAGCGCTGCTCACACAGGGATGCTCCAGTCACTGCTGAGCACTGCTCACACAGGGATGCTCCAGTCACTGCTGAGCAGCACTCACACAGGGATGCTCCAGTCACTGCTGAGCAGCACTCACACAGGGATGCTCCAGTCACTGCTGAGCAGCACTCACACAGGGATGCTCCAGTCACTGCTGAGCAGCACTCACACAGGGATGCTCCAGTCACTGCTGAGCACTGCTCACACAGGGATGCTCCAGTCACTGCTGAGCGCTGCTCACACAGGGATGCTCCAGTCACTGCTGAGCAGCACTCACACAGGGATGCTCCAGTCACTGCTGAGCAGCACTCACACAGGGATGCTCCAGTCACTGCTGATGAGCAGCACTCACACAGAGCCAGGACCTTTTCTGCTCTTCCTGCAAGCAGGGGGCCACAAGGAATTGGGGTAACGCAGCCAGGCAGTGACCCCGACTGGGGTATCCTGGACCATGTAACACCATGCTCAGCAATGAAACTGGGGGGGCATTGGAGTGGGGCTGCTGCTTGGGGGGTGGCTGGGCATCACACAGTGATGGTGAGCAATGGTTTCCAATGGCATCACTTGTCTTGCCTGGGGTTTGTTTCTGTCTTTCTGGTATTTTCCTTTTCATTACAATTTATTGCCGTTTTTCTATTCCAACTATTAAACAATTATTATATTACAAATAAACATTAGATTTTTATCTCAATCCATGAATTTCCTCACTTTTATCCTGATTCTCCCCTATCCTGCAGCAGTGGGGTGAGTGAGCAAGCGGCTGCTGGGGCTTAGCTGCCGGCTGGGGTTAAACCACCACGGAACACGGAAGGATTTCATTACACAGCAGACCACCACCTACCTTCATCTAACAGCAGGTAACCCGGGAACTTAAATCCCCCTCCCCACTCCACCAAACGCCAGGGTGAGGAGCCCCACGCTCAGCTCCACTTCGCACCGATGCTGCTACCCCGGAGCTGTGACTGCTGCATGGATAACAGCCAGGAGCCTGCCAAGGACCCGTGCGCATCGGAGCAGGGCCCATGCAGCGAAGGGCCCGGGCTGTGCTCACCTGGGTGCCCGGGGGGGTGGTCCTGGCCTCCGTGCTTGGCCCCGCTGAAGTCCTCCATGAACTCCGGCTTCTGCAGCGGTGCCAGCAGAGCGCGGGGGCTGCGGGCAGCGGTGGGGTCGGTCAGCAGCCGGTGCGTGGCCCTGCCAAAGGTCTCTCCGGACTGGAACCGGTACTGAGGGACGAAGCCCTCGTAGCTGAGGAGGAACCAAAGAGTGGTCACTGCGGTGGTGCTGGGACCTGCCCCTCGGCTGGGTTTCTGTTTAGAGCTGGGGGGCACCGGGAAGGCTGCAGCCGGGAGCACGCGGGGGCTGGAGCGCGTGGGCCCAGGGAGGTGATTGCACAGGGATGTCCTGCGAGCAGGAAGGAGCAGCACGGGGGAGCACGGAGCAGCTGTGTGTGGTTCTGCATGGAGCCAGGCAGGTGCGTGTGTGTTTGCACGTGTGAGTGTGTTAGCACGTGTGTGTTAGCACATGTGAGTGTGTGTGCACGTGTGTGTGTGTTTGCACGTGTGTGTGTGTTTGCACGTGTGTGTGTGTTAGCACGTGTGAGTGTGTGTGCACGTGTGTGTGTTTGCACGTGTGTGTGTGTTAGCACGTGTGTGTGTGTTAGCACATGTGTGTGTTAGCACATGTGTGTGTGCACATGTGTGTGTTTGCACATGTGTGTTTGCACGTGTGTGTTTGCACGTGTGTGTGTGTGCACGTGTGTGTGTGTTAGCACGTGAGTGTGTGTGCACATGTGTGTGTGTTTGCACGTGTGTGTGTGTTAGCACGTGTGTGTTAGCACATGTGAGTGTGTGTGCACGTGTGTGTGTGTTTGCACGTGTGTGTGTGTTTGCACGTGTGTGTTAGCACATGTGAGTGTGTGTGCACGTGTGTGTGTGTTTGCACGTGTGTGTGTGTTAGCACGTGTGTGTGTGTTAGCACATGTGTGTGTTAGCACATGTGTGTGTGTGCACATGTGTGTGTTTGCACATGTGTGTTTGCACGTGTGTGTTTGCACGTGTGTGTGTTAGCACGTGTGTGTGTTAGCACGTGTGAGTGTGTGTTTGCACATGTGTGTGTTAGCACGTGTGTGTTTGCACGTGTGAGTGTGTTAGCACGTGTGAGTGTATGTTTGCACGTGTGTGTGTTTGCACGTGTGTGTGTGTGTTAGCACGTGTGAGTGTATGTTAGCACGTGTGAGTGTGTGTTTGCACATGTGAGTGTGTGTTTGCACGTGTGAGTGTGTGTTTGCACGTGTGTGTGTGTTTGCACGTGTGAGTGTGTTTGCACGTGTGAGTGTGTGTTTGCACGTGTGAGTGTGTTTGCACATGTGAGTGTGTGTTTGCACGTGTGTGTGTGTTTGCACGTGTGTGTTTGCACGTGTGAGTGTGTTTGCACGTGTGAGTGTGTGTTTGCACGTGTGAGTGTGTGTTTGCACGTGTGTGTTAGCACGTGTGTGTGTGTTTGCACGTGTGTGTTAGCACGTGTGTGTGCGTTTGCACGTGTGTGTGCACGTGTGAGTGTGCGTTTGCACGTGTATGTCAGCATGCAAACTGGCTGATGGATTTCCAGGCACTGTAGGCACAGGCTCAGTGCTTCGGTTCATGGGGGAATACAGAGAGCGGCCAAAGCAGCGTCTGTGGAGAGGAAAACTTTATAGAACCCCAGCCTGGTTTGTGCTGGAAGGGACCTTAAAGCTCCTCCAGCTCCAACCCCTGCCACGGGCAGGGACACCTTCCACTAGAGCAGCTTGCTCCAAGCCCCTGTGGCCAACCTGCCCTTGACGTGTGCTGCAGTCACTGGGACAGCCCCCAGTTAAAATCCCATTCCCAGTTAGAGGCGGCTCTGTTTCAGATGCTCCTCTCCCTCTCTCTGTTACTGGGAATTCCCAGGTTCCAGTCCCTGGTCCAATACCAAAACTCCAACCAAACTCCTGCAGGATGTGCTGCTCCTCTGGCCCCCGGTGCCTGGCACGGGCAGTTGGGTGGCTCAGGGCACCGAAGCCCCGGGTCCATCAGCACCCATCGGGAGCTCCAGCTGTTCCCGGTACCCCAGCTCCTCACAGTGATGTTATTCCACCTCTGAAGCAGCAAGGCAGAGCTGGCGGTTGCAATGTACAGACACAAACACTGAAGGAGCCCACTGCCTACCCAGGAATAAAGCCAGATGATGCATGAGGATCACAAGATGATGAGCAAGTACTTTCCCTTCCAAATGCTTTCCCCAAGAGCAAGCAGAGCCACGCATTTCCACTCGGCCAGCGGTCCTGCTTTGCGTGCAGGATGGCAGCAGCACCTCCGTGCCTCATCCCCATTGATTTCCAATGGGTCTTGCAACATGGGAAAGCTACACCGGGACCATAAAGCTGAGCGAGGGCACAAATGGCTCAGCCCAGGTAATGACAGGGTGGGGGGAGAGCTGCGAGAGGATTCAACTCATGGCAGTTAAAAGCAAGGCAACAGGAGGAGCTCGGCTGAGTCAGGCCGGGCTCTGGGGAAGGGATGTGCCATGGAGTGAATGGCGAGGGCTGGGCTCAAAGCCCTGGTCCCAGCGGGGCTGTTTGGGCTCCTCCTGCCTTGTGTTCATCTGAAGAACCCAGAGGGGTCCCCCTGGCCCTGCAGTCGCTGCTCCCACCCCTCACTGGCCTCCCCAGGGCCTCCCACCTGCCCCTCGCTCAGCCCCGGCTCTGCCATCGCTGCTCCCACCCGGCAGCACCAAAACCTGCTCCTGGGCCCCGGGAAGAGCCTTGGCTCTGGACCCCGCACCCTGCGCAGCTCCGTGGAGCTGTCCATGGATTTACCCCTTCTGTGCCCCGCGTCCTTCCCAAACCAGCCCAGCTCCTTGGCTTTGCCTTCCAGCGCTGCTCAGCGCCGCTCTGGTGTTTCCAAAGCCCCATCTGTGACCATTGCCCAGCACAAGTGGCAGCGGCCGATGCCGATGTCCTTGTGTTCACGGCACGGCCCATGGGACAAGAGGTGAGATGCTGCGATGCAGCAGCATCCTCATCCTCCTCCTGCAGCGCCCAGCGGGGTGCAGGGTCCGCTGGCTCTGGTGGTGCCCCTCAGGCAGCTCCTCCCTGTGCTCAGCACCCAAAGCAGATGCAAAGCAGCACCCGCGGGGGGGTGACACCACAAGCCCACACAGCCCTGCGAAATACAGGAGCAGAAGTGGGTTCCCCTTCCTCCTCCTCCTCCTCGCTTCAGCCCCAGCTCCTGTGGCTGCATCAGGGACTGAAGCAGGGGTGAGCAGGGGGAAGGTCTGAGGCTTTTGGAGGTGCAAACGCAGCCCCAGCTCCCTCCTTGCTGCTCCTCATCCCTGCCAGCACGGCTCTGCCAGGGTGGCAGCACGCAGCACAGCCACGCAGCACAGCCACGCAGCACAGCCACGCAGCACAGCCACGCAGCACAGCCACGCAGCACAGCCACGCAGCACAGCCACGCAGCACAGCCCGTGCTCAGCACAACCACGCAGCACAACCCGTGCTCAGCACAACCAGCCCCGGAGCTTGAGTAAGCCTGGGAGATGCGGAGATCAGCCATGGAGGAATCCTGCAGGGTGCTGCGATGGGAAGGACCAATCTGAGCACCAGGAGCGGTGCTAAGGAAGGAAGGGAACAGGTTCCACACCGCCTGCAGCTCGGGGTCTGCCTGCGCTGCATCTGCAGCCGTGGGGGACAAACCTGGTCGGTCGCAGCCCCTCTGCCCCGGACATCGTCCTGACCCCTTTGGAGCCAGCCTCAGGCTGGGCTAATCCCAGTGGTCCGGTACCAACAGACACTTGTGCGCTGGGGCTGCTATGGGGAGCCTCTGGCTCTGCCGTCCCATGGGCTACGAGCCCTCAGCCACCGCAGTGGTGTCCACGTGCCATGAACACATCTCCCAGCACAGGCACCAGGGGACCGCACGCACCATTTCCCTGTCCCCACAAAGCCAATGCCCTGACTCCTGCCATTTGTGTCTTACCTCTTAACCACCAGTCCGTCATAGAATCATAGAACAGTTTGGGTTGGAAAGGACCTTAAGATCATCCAGTTCCAACCCCCGTGCCATGGGCACACTAAACCATGGCACCCAAGGCTCTGTCCAACCTGGCCTTGAACACTGCCAGGGATGGAGCATTCACAGCTTCCCTGGGCAACCCATTCCAGTGCCTCACCACTCTTATAGTAAAGAATTTCCTCCTTATATCCAATCTAAACTTCCCCTGTTTAAGTTTGAACCCATCACCCCTTGTCCTGTCACTCCAGTCCCTAATGAAGAGTCCCTCCCCAGCATCCCTATAGGCCCCCTTCAGATACTGGAAGGCTGCTATGAGGTCTCCACACAGCTTCTCTTCTCCAGGCTGAACAGCCCCAACTTTCTCAGCCTGTCTCCATACAGAAGGTGCTCCAGTCCCTGATCATCCTCGTGGCCTCCTCTGGACTTGTTCCAACAGTTCCATGTCCTTTTTATGTTGAGGACACCAGAACTGCACACAGTGCTCCAGGTGAGGTCTCACAAGAGCAGAGCAGAGGGGCAGGATCACCTCCTTCGACCTGCTGGCCACGTTCCTTTTGATGCAGCCCAGGATACAGTTGGTTTCTGGGCTGTGAGCACACACTGCAGCCGGCTCATGTTCATTTTCTCATCAACCAGCACCCCTTACCATCACAGTCTGGGCTGCTTCTTTCCAAGAACATCACAAGCAGCTTTGGAAAACCCCCTAACCACGTATGAACCAGCCCACAGCATCCACAGCCCCCGACTCTTCAAAGGCCTTGATCCAGCAGCAGGGCTGTGCTCTGACCAGCCTGACAAGAGGGCGCGATGCCTCTGCAAGCTATCTATCCAATGGAGGCCTTCAAACATCCTTGATGCAGGAGCTATGGCAGTTTGGAGCCAACCCCTGCACAGCTGCCCTGGTGCTATTTGCTGCTTAAAACAAGTTAAGAAAGGGGGAAGGGGGAAAGAACACTGCTGACCTTACCCTCAATGCACTACGGCAATGCCTTTCGCTGTACCCTTCTATAAAGTGGTGCTCCTCACGCTGGAGCCCTGCCTCCTTTGGAGGAGTTTTTAATGGTGTCTTTTAAACAAAACCAAACAACTTACCACAGCTCAGAACTACTGATCCCAATGGGAGCTGTTTGCCTTGAACAGGCATTTTGGCTGAACTTACCCAGGGATATGGTAGGGATGGGAAGGGAAGATGCTCTTTTCCTTGGAGGCTGCCATGGCAATGCAGCAGCTCTGGCTGGTGGGAGGAAGGAGATGCAGCACGATGCAGTCGCCTGGGAAACCTCTGTGATGCACCAGGAGCTGTGTTGTGTCGCTCCCAGCTCCTCAGGTTTGCCTGGACACGTCCTTTGTTTCCCCCCATCTGGAAGCCCCAGCACAGCTCTGGAGAGCCCCAGTCACTAGTGCAGCAGAGGCTCAGGGATTCCCCGTGCTATAGGGGAAGGCTCAGCCCTCCTCTCCCTCAGTGCCTCCTGGTCTGGCTGCGTGAGGGTGCAGCCCTTTGCTTCACACACACAAGGGCTGCTGCCATTCCCACCACCACACAGGTGACTGTGTCCTGTGTGTGGTGGGGTTCACCCCCTCCAGCTGAAGGCAGGCACAGGACATGGGGTCTCCTGCACTGAGCAGCCGCCATGGCCAGCACATGACAGCCCACAGCGCCCTGAGCGCCAGCATCCTTTCACCAACTCCAGTAGCAGCAGTGAGGCTGCTTCACTGCCGAGGTCCCTCTATGGGCCTGGGGAGCTCAGCCACAGCGCTGGCAAAACCATTCTGTTTCAAAGCAGTAACCAGAAACCAGAGCTCTCATGTGGTCAGGTCCCTGCTCCTCCACCCGAAAGCTTCTCTGAGGAGGTAAAATTGCTGCTTTGACTCCTGCCCTTGGTGCCTAGTGATGGATCTGGAGTTTCCAGCCTTTATAAATGTGCTGAGTTTGCCCAGCTCCTGAGCACCACCACGGGACAGCCCCCTCCAGCAGCCCCAGGTCTGCAGTGGATGGTCTGTGAGGGGGTCATGGCTCTTCTCAGAGGTGAGCAGTGAAAGACAGAGGAGATGACAGGTACAAGATGCACCGAGGGGCAGGCCCAGAGGACACAAGGAGGAAGCTCTCCTCCATGGGAGCAGCGCAGCCCTGGGGCAGAGGTGGCATCTCCATCCTCAGAGATCTTCAAAGCCCAGAAGAGCAGTCCCATGGAGCTTTGTGGTCAGCTCAGCTTTTGGGGGGCAATTCAATAAGGGACCTACAGAGGTTCCTCCCAGCCCAGGTCTTCTGATTTTAACATGAAGAAACTGCTTTCTGAAACGCAGCACTGTGTTAATGACACCAAACAGTGATCCCAGGCTGGTCCAAGCCCCACTGGCCCAAGGGGGGTCAGGTCAGCATCATCCCAGCACTTCCAGAAGCTCCCTTCAAAGCTCACTCCTTTAAATGATCAATGGCTGCTCCTTCAAACCTGGGGTCCCATACTTACCAAAGAGCTATGGAACAATCAGAGCAAGGTATCTGTGCTCAGTGCAGGCACCTGGGTAAAAGAAAAAAGCAGAAATCACTTTTGTCAAGGTTATCATCAGAATTTATTGATATGAGAGAACCTTTGTATGTCCACATGTCAAGAGAGGAACAGCACATCCCGATGGAACAAGTACAGAGCCCATCCAGGTGACTTTACAGTGCTCTGGCACCTCTGAGTACAGGAGATCACACACACGGCCGGGTGTTGCTGGGTACATTGTCTGGGACAGGACAGAAACACTGCAGATACACATTCAGTGTGTGGTTTGCCAGCACCCACCCAGTGCCCCACAGGCTGCAGCAGGGACCACAATGGCTCTGACCCCCATCGCCCAGCTCCAAGCAGACCCTGCACAGGTAACAGCAGCTCCTCACAGCCCCTGCAGTCAAAGAGGGGAAAACACCTATTTGGGGGTGAGATCCACCTTGGAGGTGGGGTGACTTGGACCCTTTGCTCAGAGGACCAGCTCACATGGAGGTGCTGGGGAACCCCACACTGGGTCTGCAATGGGACAACCTGGGTCCTACCAAGTGAGCCACAACTGGGAATCTTCAGGATGGAGTTTGCCCTGCCCAGGGAGCACCACAGCCACACTCCAGGCTGGCACCTGCCAATGCAGCAGCAGGTTACTGCCTTCAGCATAACATTTATCCTCAGATGCTGAGTGTTTGGACATCCCCCTGTCAGCAGTGCCCGCTCGCAGAGCTCTCTGCACAGCCATTCACACTGAGCTTGTGGCTAAGATAAAAGCTATCTTATTATCCTTACTGGAAATACACGCTATGCTGGATGCTGTTTAAAAGGCACCAAGTGCTGAGCTTTCATCTTCTCCCAGCTTATGAAATACTTGGTTTGGTCCTAAGCATCTTGCTAAAGGATTAGAGAGGGAATAGCAGAGTATTCCCCAGGCACCCGGTAAATCCTCAATGGATTTATTGTAGAGCTGAATTCCCTCCCACACTCCAATGGATTTCAGAACCCTCTAAAACCCTCCAGAGAAGGAGCTGTTTGTGACAGGACAAACAAAACCCAACCCCAAGTTCAATGGCAGAACATACACCTATACTAAGGGAATGGGTCAGTCCCACCCCCCGATGCCAGCTCTGATCACAGCATGAAGGAGCCTGGGCCCAAGTGCATCTGCCTGGCCAGCAGCACGAACCCTGCCACAGCCCTGAAGAGGAACCACGAACACTCAACATACATGTCAGGGCATGTGCACACGTGTGTGCTGAGGGACCACCCGTACTCTGCTCCTCCTCTCACGGCAGCTGGGACAAGGGACACGGCAGGTTCTGCGCTCAACCGTTCGGCTTCACCAGATCCCAGTTCCCTCTGCACAGGTAACAGCATTGACTTAGAGATCTCATATTAATGGGTACTTATACAGGATTAATTGCACATCAGTCCATTGTGGCTACAAGTTCATTAGGCTAATGAATCTACATAGTGACAGTAGTACAGTATCAGCTACGTTTCAATACAAACTCCCTAGCCTAGCCTTAATCTGTAGGTCAGAAGAAGATCTTCCACCGCCACGATCTTCCTACAACCTTTAACATTCATTTTCAAAGTTATTTATCTAGAAAACAAACAAAATCCAGTGTGGGGAAAACGCACATATAGAACAAAAGCAGTGCTTAACAACCACAGGAAAAAAGAACATCAGCTTGGACTCTGGGATCAGCATCCTCTGTACACCCTGGCAGCGTTACTTCCAAAGGGTTGCTAAATGCTCCGTCAGTTCTCAAGTCCATAAAAGCATTTCCTAGCTCTAAACGTTTCTAGTCTCTCACTATACATATTGTCTGTAGCAAGAGCATACAGAAACACTTGCTAATGTGCACAAGACTTCCATTTGATTTAATGGAATAGTTTTAGAAGACTGAAGTCTTTACTTGCAGAAATACAACTGTTTGTGAGTGGCAGTGCTCTCACCGACTGGCAGCTTCTGTTCCACCCAGGAGAAAGCTCCACGTTCCTCAAGGTTTTACTCATCTACGTTGCCCAAAGGTGTGTGGGTATCCAAGAAAACCCCTCTCACAGTATTCCCAGGAAACGATTCAGAAGAGGAGATGATTTTTCAACCAAATGAGATCCTCTGGTCTTGTGTGTCAGACCATGGCCAATAGAATGAGCAGCTGCCATGGACGTCTCAACTTAAATACGGTTCAGTCAAGGGAGGAGAGCAAGGTGGCCTGACCATCTTCTGTGAGGTACAGGCAGAGAGGCACCAAAGTCACTCTGTTCTCAACAGTTTGTCTCTTTTTCCTGGAGTCAAATGTTTGATTCCATTTGCTCTAGCAGGAAGTGGTGAATCATGTCAAAAGTGGGACGATCTTTTATATCCCTGCTCCAACATTTCAACATCAGGTCAAACACAGGGTTAGGGCACAGAGGAGTCTGGGAGAGATAGATCTGCAAGGAAGAAAGGTACAGCTGTTTCAGTGGGTTTTCAGACCAGAACTGAACCTTTACTAAATGAACACCAAGAGGACAGTTTCACTGCAGGTTCACAAGACACAGCCATCATGCAACGCTTGAAATCCATTAAGCGGGAATCTGACAGTGGAGTCTGGATGGAGCTTCGATGCCATCTCAAATGGCACTGCAGACACTTTGCCAACACGTTTGATGAGCTGGTCACAAAACAGTGCTTTGTGCCCCAGGAGACACGAATGCTTCGGAGAGATTTGTCTTCCAAGTGACAGCAACACACAAACCAAACCCAAATTTACCCCAATAATATCCAAATACTTCCACTCACCGTAGACAACCCATGAGGCTTTCTAAGCATCGTGACAGCTTGTTAGCAGAGAGAAAAAACACCTTTTAGAGCTCATCTAAAGCACAGCCTGGCAGAACTGTTTTTTCCCCTCTCATTTCAATACACATCTTTTAGGCTCTTCACTAAATCGTCAGTATTCAGGAGACAGTGAATAAAACCTCCCATTATTTTATTCCCCTTAATCCTTTAATTTGACTGGTGCTAAAGGTGAATTTGGAGAGAACAGCAAACTGCTTACAACCTGCACTCCACGTTTTTGGGTGCAGCGATGCTCAGTACTGCGGGGCTGTCCTGCATCATCACTGGTGTCTATTGAAGGCAGTGGAGCACACAGTCCTGCCTGGGAGCTGGCCAGAGAGGACAGAATGATACAGACAAGCCCTTCAGGCAGAGATGGCCAAAGGCTTCTTGGCATACGTGGAGATATTCCAAAGAGCATCTAATCCCTGGGAACTAACAACTCTTCCTTCCCCACCTCAGTAAGTGCTTCCTGGTCTTTCACAGAGAACGCTAGCAGGAGAGAGATGTGACAGGGAAAAAAGCACAAGGATTGTGTAGCAGAGCCCAGAAAAGCCAAGGAGGACAGAACAGACTGAGACAGAAGCGGCTTATAATAAGGAAGAAGCACTGGAGAGGACCAAAAGATTCTTCCAGTGGGATTCCAGGATAGGAAAGCTGGTGCAATGAGCAAAGATAAAGAGGAAGAGAGGTGGCACACACTGAGAAGGTGAGTAATGCAGAGTCCTGCAGACGATGTAAGGCCAGCAGAAAGGCCCTGGGAGATCCACCAGGATGTGACCAGGACAAGTGAAGGAAGGAGAGGTCATGTTCGCTGTCTTACCTGCCTGCCCTGGCTCCGGAAGAACTCTCCTGTGTTCTCGATGACTTGCTCATCCGAGAGGAGGCTGTAAGGTTGCTCCTTACACAGTATGAACATCTCCCAGAGGGTGACCCCAAAGGCCCAGACATCACTGGCTGTGGTGAACTTGCCCTG